GGAGAGAGGTGCAAAAACAGCCAGATTGATTATAGCTTGAGATTTGCCTTATTTGAACATGGTTTGAATAGTTGACATTCTTTCATTGGCAAAAACATAGTGATTGGTACAAGAATGGGTTACAGGCTACTTACATATCCAGTTAGGTTTTAGTTAACCCTGTACAAAAAGAACCTATTAACCAAAATTAATCATGAAAGGGGGCAGCTTTAGGCTATAACTAATTTAACAATTCCTTTCCTTTGTTATCTTCTCAGTTTTGAGAGGTAGCAATAGCTAACTAATACACGCATCCAGTGCAGATAGAATGCCAGGGTTCGATGACAGGTTGATTACTAGTTACTTTCTAACAGTGGGTGCCCTAAAGGTACTGGGATTTTCCTTTGATTTAAAGTTGGATGTCTTGTAAGATAATGTTGATTAATGCAAAAACTCAAGTAGAATGTATGCATGTGATTGGTGCATTTATACTCACACAGTCACTCACACCACAGAAGAAATCAGATACCAGCCTGACCATTAGGATCAAGGTTAAATGGCAAAATAAGTTTGCCTCTAATCTATTTTCTTCATATCTAAACATTAGAGGTCAAGACTGTGGACAGATCTGAAGACATAAGCAGATGAAAACCTTGATTTAGATAGCTTTTCTCACAGATCAAAAATCAAGACATTTCTGCTCTCATGACACTCTTAGTTCACACTTTTTTCTTGTGGCTCTACAAACAACAGCAGTAAAAAGAGGTCCCTTGTATGCACTCATGGGGCATGCTTCTATATGTAGAGGATTTGGCAGTCAACCTTATATATGAACAGACTTATCCCTTGATAGGTAAAAGATTAAGAGACAATATGGGTGAGAAATTTTAATAGGATACTTGTTGCCTCATAATATCAAAAACAGAATATTGATTAATTTTACCTATTTCTTTTTTTTGATGTTTGGCTACTAGAAAATTTAAAATCCACATATCGCTCAGATTTTGTTTCAGAGGACTGCCTCCTTTCTAAAATCTCAGGCTATGTGCTCAAAGGACCAGAAGCCAGTAAGGGCCTAAAAGCTGAAATTTTAAAATAATTGTTATTATTTGGTTTTTGTTTGTGACTAGCCATATAATATTTATAAATGCATATGACAGTACCCAAAAGGTTAAATGCAAATGCCTTCTGGGGTGGGCCTGCCTCAGCTCAGTGAGGAAGCCCTGCCTGAGAAGGCTGCAGCCTAGGCTGTCGCAACTTTTAATTCAGCCCAGTATCTGATCACATCTTTTGTCACTCAGGGCTGTTGGGGGGGGCTTAAACATTATCTAATCAGGATGCCAGATGCGGTGGTCACGCCTGTAATCCCAGCACTTTGGGAGCCTAGGCGGCGGATCATGAGGTCAGGAAATTGAAACCATCTTGGCTAATGCGGTGAAAACCCCATCTCTACCAAAATACAAAAAAATGCCAGGTGGTGGTGGCGGGCACCTGTAGTCCCAGCCTACTGGGGAGGCTGAGGCAGAATGGCGTGACCTGGGCAGACGGATCTTGCAGTGAACTGAGATTGCGGCCACCTGTACTCCATCCTGGGTTGAAAAGAGTGAGACTCCATCTCAAAGAAAAAAAAAGAAAAAGAACAAAAAAAACATGATCTAATCAGGGATGCTGGGCTGGGAACTGTCCTATATGCATGCAGCTGGGCACCACAGTGAGGCTTTCCAGGTTTGTCTCTTGCTGCACTCGGGGCTCCAGG